CAGATTCCTGGCCAAACAATAGGCCCAGAGGTCCTTCGCCAAGCGGGCCAGAATAACCGAATGCGTGCCGCCCATGTGATTGACATAGCGAATTGCTGAGATATTGTCCATCCGCAGTCAGATGCACGCACTGGCGGTCCCGTTCGCAAAGCTCCGGATCGCAAAGGAGCTGGCCAGGAGCTCCAGGGCATTGATGTGGAGACGGGATTCGTCCTCCGACCAGCGTCCCTCGGTAGTTACACCATTGCAGTGGGCACCCCAACTGTGGAGACTTGCATCTGAATCCACCGTGAATTCCGGTTGGGAACTGAAGATGGCCTTGCCATTCCAAGCGGATAAATTCTGGATCCACCAGGTCAGCTCATCTCGGGTTTCCGAATCCAGGGAAACCATGTCTACATATGCGAAGATGTGAGATCTTCAGACGCTGGAGGGCATGATAATGGAGAGGGGCAGGAAACACAGCCTGGATTGAGGAGGCCAGTAGGCCGATGATCCGTGCCAGAGGACGCAGCAACAGCTGGGGGCGCGCTAGGGCGTGGCATAGTTCTTTGCGGATGGAGCGTATTTTGGCTGGAGGGAGGCTAAGAGATTCAGTTTCTGAGTCTACTGTGAACCCGAGGAACTCCATGCGTCGGGAAGGGGTCAGGCAGGATTTTTCCCAATTGAGGAGGAAACCCAGAAGAGATAGGAGATCCATCGTCCCCTGTAGGTGTTTCAGGAGGACCGAGCGGTCCTGTACCATGAGGAGGATGTCGTCCAAATAAACTATCAGTCTTACTCCTCGACTGCGCAACCAAGCCATGGCAGGGCGCATCAATTTGGTGAAGCACCACGGAGCTGACGAGAGCCCGAAAGGGAGGCATGTGAAGCGCCAAGTGTCGCCTTTCCAGAGGAAGCGTAGTAAGTCCCTGGATGCATCGTCACTGGGACCGTCAAGTATGTGTCCTTGAGGTTTAATTTTGCCATCCAGACTCCCCAAAGGAGTAAGTCCTGCAGGAGATGAATGCCCTCCATCTTGAAGTGGCGGTAGAGCACTAGAGTGTTCAGGGCCCAGAGGTTGATAACTGGGCGCATCTGCACGCCTTTCTTTTCTACAAGGAAGATGTTGCTGAGAACCCCTGTGGGGGACATTGGGGCCTGTTCTATCGTCCCCTTCGTGTGGAGAGCCGATAGCTCCTCTTCTATTAGAACACGGTCTGTCCCTGAAAGTACAATAGGGTGAGGGGGAGGAATATGACACGGGGTGTCGACCAACTCTATGTGAAACCCCCTCACTGTGGTCAGAATCCAGGCATCTGAGGTGATGTCTAACCAGGCTTGGCGAAAATGACGGAATCTGCCCCCTACACAGATATTGGAAAAAACATGAGGATAATGTAAGCTTACTGTAAGGACGTCTGGAACCGGGGTTACCTCTGAAGCCTCTGGAGCTCCATGGCCTCCCGAGAGAGGGGAAGAAAGGGGACTGTTGTCTCGTCTCCTGGTAGGATGGTCTATGGTTGTAGAAGCCTCATCCCGATCCACGGGCATGGTAATTAGACCGGCTGGACAGCACTGTGGCAGTGAATCTGCCGGCCCTGATAGATACCCATCCCCGAAATACCCTCTACATAGAGGACTGAGCCTTGTCAGGGCTGTAAAAGCACCCACAAAGCGCCCCAGATCCTTTATAAAGGATTCTCCAAACAACAGGCCCTGGGTGTCTTTGTCTGCCTCAGTGAGAGCGAGGTTAGCCAATTTGGGCTCAATTTTAAAGAGAATGGCTTAACGCCGCTCAGTGGACAGGGAGGTGTTCACACTGCCTGCTATGCAGATCGCCCTCTGCACCCAGTCATGGAGTTCTTCTGGGTCAACCAGGTCAAACAATTTGGCCAAAGGACCAAAAATGTCCAGGTGTTTGTCCTGGCATAATTTTAAAGCGGAATCCAATCCCTTGCGGGAATTCCATCCCATTTTGGGGTCAACAATAGGGGCCTCACAGACTTTACTGGGAATCTGGGGTCTAGGACATTCTGCCCCTAGTTTGTTGCACACCGCCTTGCTAAGGGGGCGCCATACCCAGTTCTCTATGTACTTAGCCACATGGTCCACTGGGAGCCATTCTGCCAACCTCGGGTGATGGAGAGCATCCGGGTCAAATATAGGTTCCCCAGACAGATCCATGAGGGCGGAACCTGCGGTAGCGGGGGAGTCGCTGCGCCAGCCACTCATTACCAGCCCCGATAGAGCAGGGACAAAGGGGTCAGTGTCCTGCCCGCCAATGTTGTCATTGGAGTCACATACGGACTCAGCATCAGCCTCCTCACAAGACCCGATTTCTGAGACGGAGTCACTCTCTTTTTGTGCTTTAGCACATTTCTACAGTAATAGTAATATATGCTGCAGGGAGTTGAAAGCTAAAACGAAAATGACAGGGAGAGAACAAGCTAGCAGGAGTTAAAGGAACACTATAGTCACCTGAATTACTTTAGCGAAATAAAGCAGTTTTAGGGTATAGGTCATTCCCCTGCAATTTTACTGCTCAATTCACTGTCATTTAGGAGTTAAATCACTTCAGGGGCGGACTGACCACTCGGGCACTTCGGTCATGGACCGAGGGCCCGAGGCAGTCAGGGGCCCGGCAGCACAGCCATGCTCCAGCTGGAGAGATCAGATCAGAGATCTCTCCAGCTGGAACGGCAAAAAAATAATAAAATTAAACTATTTAATTGATAGGCTGTGGGGCCCCTGATGCAGCGCGGGGCCCCACAACCTACCGCTCTTTAAATCCACCCCCCCCCTCCCCTCCCTCCTCCCATGAGACCTGGCAGCTTCACCTCCTCTCCCTCTCTGCCAGGTCTCCTGCTTCCAGTCCCGCGGTGCTCTGTGTGATGGGAGAGGCGGGGCCAGGAAGTGACATCACTTCCTGTATTCTCCTCTCACACACAGAGCCCAGCGTGGGACAGGAGCTGCAGCCTGGGAGACCAGAGGGAGCAGAGACACAGGTAGGCACCAATCACTCCCCGCCCCCCCCTTACTGTCACTAGTTACCCTCCACCCCCCCTCACTGTCACTAGTCACCCTCCACCCCCCCTCACTGTCACTGAGTCACCCTCCACCCCCTCACTGTCACTAGTCACCCTCCACCCCCCCTCCCTGTCACTAGAATTACCCTCCTTCCACCCCCTCCACTGTCACTAGTCACCCTCCACCCCCCCTCACTGTCACTAGTCACCTCCATCCCCTCACTGTCACTGGTCACCCTCCATCCCCCCCTCACTGTCACTAGTCACCCTCCATCCCCCCTCACTGTCACTAGTTACCCTCCACCCCCCCTCACTGTCACTGGTCACCCTCCACCCCCTCACTGTCACTAGTCACCCTCCACCATCCCTCACTGTCTAGTCACCCTCCACCCCCATATTCACTAGTCACCCTCCCCCACTGTCACTAGTCACCCTCCACCCCCCCTCACTGTCACTAGTCACCCCCCTCACTGTCACTAGTCACCCTCTCCCTCACTCTGTCACTAGTCACACCCTCCCTCACTCTGTCACTAGAGTGAGCAGATGACTGGTGACAGAGTGAGTTAGGGGGATGACTAGTGACAGAGTAAGGGACCAAGGGGGTGACTAGTGACAGAAGGAGGGAGGGAGTAGTGACAGAGGGAGGTGGTGACTAGTGACAGAGGTGGTGACTAGTGACAGTCACCACCTCCCTCACTCTATCACTAGTCACCCCTTCCCTCACTCTGTCACTAGTCACCCCCTCACTCTAGTGACAGTGAGGGAGGGAAGTGGTGACTACTGACAGAGTTAGGGAGGGAAGGGGTGACTAGGGACAGAGTGAGGGAGGTGGTGACTAGTGACAGTCACCACCTCCCTCACTCTGTCACTGTGTCACCCCCTCCCTCACTCTGTCACTGGTCACCCACTCCCCCCTCACTCTGTCACCAGTCATCCCCTCACTCTGTCACTAGTCACCCCTTCCTTCCCTCACTCTGCCACTAATCATCCCTTCCCTCACTCTGTCCCTAGTCACCCCCTCACTCTGTCACTAGTAACCCTCTCACTCTAGTGACAGAGTGAGCAAGGGTGTGACTAGTGACAGAGAGAGTGAGGAAGGGGGTGACTAGTGACAGAGTGAGGGAGGGTGTGACTAGTGACAGAGAGAGGGAGGGGGTGACTAGTGACAGAGAGAGGGAGGAGGGGGTGACTAGTGACAGAGAGAGGGAGGGGAGGGGTGACTAGTGACAGAGGGGTGACGGAGGTGGTGATTAGTGACAGAGGGAGGGATGGGGTGACTAGTGACAGTCACCACCTCCTTCACTGTGTCACCCCCTTCCTCACTCTGTCACTAGTCACCCCCTCTCTCACTTGTCACTAGTCATCCCTTCCTTCCCTCACTCTGCCACTAGTCATCCCTTCCCTCACTGTCACCAGTCATCCCCTCACTCTGTCACCAGTCACCCCTTCCTTCCTTCACAGTGACAGAGTTAGGGAGGGAGTGACTAGCGACAGAGAGAGGGATGGGGTGACTAGGGACAGAGGGGGTGATTAGTGACAGAGTGAGGGAGGGGGTGACTAGTGACAGAGGGAGGGAGGGAGTGACAGAGTAAGGGGGTGACTAGTGACAGAGTTAGGGAGGGAGTGACTAGTGACAGAGTTAGGGAGGGAGTGACTAGTGACAGAGAGAGGGATGGGGTGACTAGTGACAGTCACCCCCCCTCACTCTGTCACCAGTCATCCCCTCTCTCTGTCACTAATCACCCCTTCCCTCCCTCACTTTGCCACTAGTCATCTCTTCCCTCCCTCACTCTGCCACTAGTCACCCATTCACTCACTCTGTCACTAGTCCCTCACTCTGTCGCCAGTCACCCCCACTCACTGTGTCTCCCCCTCACTCTGCCACCACTCAACCCCTCCCTCACTCTGCCACCAGGTACCCCCTCACTCTGCCACCTGTCACAACCTCCCACACTCTTCCACCTGTCACCTTCTCCCTCACACACTCTGTCACCTGTCACATATGCATTCACACAGACACTATATATAAAAAAGCACATGTAGTCATCCAGACATGCACAAGTGCATTCACACAGACTCAAATACAAACATGCATTGATACACAGGTCTTCACAATATACACATCCAAAGGAATGCCGTATTATGAGTTATATTTAACATTTATTTAATGAACATATATTTGGCCTTCAAAGGGCCTGGGATCTAATTTTGCCCGGGGGCCCCAAAGGCTCTCAGTCCGCCCCTGAATCACTTTGTTTCTGTTTATGCAGCCCTAGCCACACCTCCCCTAGCTATGATTGACAGAGCCTGCATGAAAAAAAAAAAAACTGGTTTCACTTTCAAACAGATGTAATTTACCTTAAATAATTGTATGTCAATCTCTAAATTGAACTTTAATCACATACAGGAAGCTCTTGCAGGGTCTAGCCAGCTATTAAAATAGCAGGGGATACGAACATCTTAATTAAACAGAACTTGTAATAAAGAAAGCCTAAATAGGGCTCTCTTTACAGGAAGTGTTTATGGAAAGCTGTGCAAGTCACATGCAGGGAGGTGTGACTAAGGTTCATAAACAAAGGGATTAAACTCCTAAATGGCAGAGGATTGAGCAGTGAGGCTGCAGGGGCATGTTCTATACACCAAAACTGCTTCATTAAGCTAAAGTTGTTCAGGTGACTATAGTGTCCCTTTAATCACCCCAGACCTTATTAGAGGGTATAGATAGGGAGCTCACCAGGGCCCAGACCGTCTGACAGGAACAAGGAGCAATGGAGTCACAGACAGACTGAGAAAGATAAGGCAAACAGAGAAAAAAGATAAGAGCAACAGGGATACTGATAATACCCTACAGTAATAGTAATATATGTCTGGAACCCTGGGCTCAAAGGATAACACAATATAAAAATCCACAAGAGGATAAAACATGGAAACATAAAACATATGGAAAATAAATAAGTAAATAATGAAACTACAAGCAAAAAAGCAAATAAATGGTACAGGTAGCAACAGAGCAATTATGAGCGTAACATCAATAATGCAAATAAATAATATACATAACATTAAGGCAATGATAACATGGAAGAAATTAGTCATGTACTTATCTGTTTGGTAGCAGCAAAGAAAGAGGAAGTGTGTGGGGAGGTGCTGACTATTATACTGGGACTTGGTATAGCAGTGGTCTATCACTATGGTTACCATTTTTTCTTACTGTATTCTTTGCTACTATTGGTGGACAATAGAGAAAGGTTTAAGCAATATGAGCCTCCGTGTCTTGACAGAAAATTTGCAATTAATGTTTCAGTTTTCCACATTTCACTGTTTAGTAAATAAATCCCTTTCTTTTGTTTTTTTCAATTAGCTGCTTTCTAATTTTACAGTGTGATAACTTGTCAGCACATGTTCTCACAGTGATGTGTTTATAAACCATGAAATTTGCATAGAGAGCAAATTCTCATTAGGAGAGATCATTTGACCTTAAGTTGGTCCTAAGTCAATCACCTTTAAAACTATCGTTAACTGAGTCCATATGTTAAACACATTGGTTAGACTATGGGGGATGGAACTGTAAATGTATTTTTATCCACTGACTATGGATTAAAAATAATTACTGCTATTAAACTATGCTAATGTGATCACATTATACTCGAGTTTTCTAAGATGCTTTTGAGGAAAAATGCACTGACTTCAGTAAGTTAAAATGTTAAACTATGCTAATTGTGTTAATTGGGGGTTGTGACGAACTGAACCTCGTCACTGGTGCTTGGAGGGGCCTGCTGGCCAGCCTCTTGCCATAAGACTACGGGCCAAGTCAACGACTGTAAAGACCCATATTTTATTCCCCCTGGTTCGGCACTTTCCATAGAACCGAACACTAGCTCCCTGGCGGCCGTTCGCATGGACCAAAAACGCGAATAGACTTCAGGGACGCAAATGCCCTGGAACTATTTTCAGCATGAAGACTTTGTGGTTCCCCGTCGGTCCCCCAGCGGCCCTTAGCCATGATTCTATGAAACTATTTTTGGCATGAAGACTTTGCAGTTCCCGATTGGTCACCAGCGGCACTTAGCCGTGATTCTATGGATCCGTTTTGGGCATGGGACCACGCGTGTGGTCGGGAAATTCCTGAACCCCTGAACTGATTCGGGTGATTTTTGGATATGTTGGTCATCTAGATCAGTGCTATCAGGGGATGTAATGTTTGTGGGGATATTATGTGTTTTGGGGTACTTTTGGTACTTTATAGAAATGTGTGTTTTTTCTGCATGGAGATAATTGGGTTAATACAGTATCTGACTCAATTATCTCCCAGGCAGAGGGGAGGGATTGTATGCTATGTGTGGGAGTGTTGTGCATTGGAATACTGTTCTTATATTGAATATTGTAACTTAGTTCCCCAGAAGTTCCATGTGGGCGTACCTCTTGCATGGGGATTGTCATATAAGGCCAAGCGTGGCTCCAATTTAACTGAGATATGTTTACCCCTTCATGAAGTCTTGGCTCATGTTTGGGGTATTGGAGAACTACATTCACTCTGGGGATTGCTATTTTACAATACTCCCCTGAGTATAATCACTAGCTCTAATAAGAGATGTTCCTGCTAGGCTCTCTGGACTAGGAGAGGTCTACCCACTGGAAGCTGGATCCTGGTTTTGGGTCCAGGGTGAGTGGAGGACGGCGAGATCCCCAAACAAGCTGTGGTGGTTTGTGGGAGTTTACGGTGCTGATAGTCTCTGGTGGAGTGTTTGGAGTCTTGGTGAGCACTAGGAGTATCGATTGGCGGAGGCACCCAGTCAGGGTGCCAGGCGGTCCGTCACAGGGGGAAATCTAAAAAAGGGTACATTGTACCCTTAAATGTGGCTGTCTTAAATAGGGGGAATTTAGCATTTTGGAATTGAATAAAGTTAATTGTATTAACAAAATTTCTGAAACTGGATTCAGTGGCGAAGGGTTTTATTCCTAACTAATTTTCTACTTATCCCTGAAAAAAAAAACTTGATAAAACTTGAGACCAAAAGCACTAAAAAAAAAAACCTAAATGTAAACTTTGACAGGCAAGTACCACCTCTCAAAAGACTTGCCTGGTAGTACATGTCTTAATCCTATAGTAGTAGTAGCTTTCACTGCCGCACATGGATGGCATGCCTCTGTCCCGTGTTCTTTATACTGGCCCTCCACTCATCACCAATGGGTAGGGCTGCAATTAGAAATTTTGTGGTCCCTTACACAGCTCAAGGTCCCGCCTATATTGCCCATTCTAAGTACACCCAAGGATTCAGTGGGTGTAGTGGATAGTGTGTATGTCAGTGACTGAACTACCTCGGTCGCGGGTGCCCAGCCACCCTGTGGACCTCTGCAACCACGGTGCCCGCCGGCTATGTAACGTGGCCCCAGCCCATGTGGTAGAATCGCCAGGGCCGCACGTTCAGGGGCCCATCAGGTGGCCCATGCTCTTAGGGCCACTCGATGGAAGTACATTTCCAGGGGGCCCGCTCAACGCTGTGGCGCTTTAACAGCTAACTCTGGCCCCCTGTGATGATGTCAGACACTGGGAGGAAGTGACAGCCCCAGTCACTTCCTCCCAGCAACCACCGGAAGCCGTGTAGTAGGAGGAAGGAGAGGAGGGAGTCAGAGTGGGAACTCTGACTCCCATCAAGCTGAGCCACTTGACCCCAGGGAAAGTCACCCTCCTGCACCTAGGTAGGAAACAGGAGGATAACTAAAACATTTTGATGTGGGGCTGTTTGTATGTGTCTGTATATGTGTGTGTTTTTATGTATGTGTGTGTTTGTGTATGTGTGTCTGTATGACTGTTTCTCTGTATCTATGTGTATGTGTGTTTGTATGTATGTATGTATGTATGTGTGTGTGTCTGTCTGTATCTATGTGTTTCTGTGTGTGTATGTGTGTTTGTTTGTTTGTTTGTATGTATGTGTTTGTATGTGTGTGTATGTTTGTCGGTATGTGTCTCTGTGTGTGTGCTTTTTGTATGTGTCTGTATGTTTGTGTGTGTTTATGTATGTCTGTCTGTATGTGTGTGTAGTTAGTTCATTCATTCAGCTTTTTGAATTACACTCTGTGTAATTCAAAAAACCGAACTAGTAACCAAATGAACGAATGGCAATATATTATCATTCTTTCATTCGTTAGTTCTCTTTACTCCCATCAAATCTGATGGGATTGAGCCGAACTAACGAATGCATACGAATAAATGTGCCTTTCATTCATTTGTATTACTAGACAGGCAGTGTACTATGTGTATTGTAATACGTATTGCAATTTGCAATGCAAACTGCCAAACGAGCAACGTTCGCGCACAGAACAAACAAATCATTCGTTCATACGTATCAACTGTTGGTGCTTTTTCAATGCATTGCTTTAGCATATGGGAATGGTAGAAACGAATGAACTAATTTACCTCAATTTGTGTATTCATTCATTCGGATGCTTTGTTTGAAATAAAAAGGAGGGGTATGGGAGTGAGCTGATTTTCATTTATCCAATCAGCTCACTCCTATGACATGATGCTGTAGGGACTTATCCAATGATATGTGCTGTATCGTAGATGGGTTTGGGAGTCAGCTGATTTCCATTTGTCTAAGCAGCTCACTCCTGTGACATGATGCTGTATAAACAGTAGTATAAAAGCAGGTACTGAGTTTTGATGGTGAAACACTGTGCTTCTGTGCTAGCCTCATTTGTCTTAGATATTTTCTGTGAGTATTGGTGTGCCTGCCATTTCTCATTTGTTAAACTTGAGACCAGGGCCGGTGCAAGGATTTTTGCCGCCCTAGGCAAAAGTAAAGTTTGCCACCCCCCCCCCCCATGTGACATCACAATGCTCCACCCATACGATCTGCCATGTTAACTAACGCCAGTGCTGCAGTGCCGCCGTGTTTACAT